TAGCTTAGCGGTGGTGACGTGAAGTCATGTGACCGTGTGCTGCTGTCCACCTCCTGCTCCATGGGGCTGTCCTCCTCCAGCTGCTGGCTGGTGTAGTTGGTGATCTCCAGGAAGCCGCTGGGCTCCACCACCACGTTGGACTGGCTGGAGTCGGGCAGGATGGAGTACTGAGGAATCACCTGCATGTGTTATTGACACGTGGGTTCAGTGGCACGTCCCCAGTACGACAAAACATGCTAATCAATCGTGAACAGAGAGGTAGTTCTGCTAATAAAGTGTGCTTTTGGTTTCTTCAGACTGTGATCCTGGTTTTTTCAAATGTTGAAAAATGTCTATTAAATCTGTTTAACTTTTGCAAGATGTGTTTTCATCTAACAATCGTTGTGTCCTTGTTTGTATCCCTGCTTTTACTTAAAAATATCTAAACAGTTAAAATATAGGCTTCTTAGGGGTGCAACTAACACATTAGTTTCCTTTATCATTAAAAAGATCTGCTGATCATTTCTAGATTCATTGATTCGGCATAATATGTTTTGGGCTTTTGTCCAATAATAATTATATCCATAAATAAAATCATTCCCGTGGGTTGATATGTGACAGACATATATATAAATAAAGCTTTATTATTATTATTACATGCCTAATTTTGTGATAATCTTCTCACCTCGATGACCTCCATGTCCTCCTTGCTCCTCTGCACTGTGAGGCCCGGCATGCAGCTGAACTTCGGGCCCTTTGAGAGAGAGTGATGGGCCCCGGAACTGCTGATAAACGGACCCGAATCCATCGTCACCGCCTGGTTTTTACCCAGAGGGCCACAGTCACTGGAGGAATCCACCACCATGGGCTCCACGCTAGGGTCGATCTCCGCCTCCATCATGGAGATTTTCAAGATGTCCGACACCGAGGGCTTCTCTCCAGACGGCCGCACGAGCTGCGACGTGATCTTAGTGACGGTCGCGCTCTGAGTGATGATTGGCTGCTGGGGGAGGAGATTTGGAGGAGAAAGAAACACAAGGTAAGGTTTTGTTGACTTATCAAATCACGTTTAGTTTTTACATTTTCTCTTTATTATTTACATTCTTTTTGGCAGCATGTATGGTAATAAACAGTATTTGCAGGTGTGTTGTTAGATCTTACGTTTTTTAAGTCTGAGTCTGTTCTTGCTTGTTTAGCTATACGAGCAATTTACAAGCAACACTTGCAAAAACCTCTGTTGTGTCTGACATACCTCGACTAAGACATGTCACTACTCATGATTTTGTCCCCAGGAAGTGTCTCCACTGACTTTAAACAAGACTACTGATTTAAAAGGAAGTAAACTGTGTTTGATTGACAGCAGCTGGCGGCTTTTAAAATAAAGCTAAAAATCGTATTTATTCATAGCTTTTTATTTATTAATGTACTCTTAAACATTTCTTTATTTTATTTAATTTCTGTTTTTTATTGATTTTTTTTTCTTTTAATTTATTATTATTTTTCCTCAATGTAAGTCTTCGTACTTCATCATACTTTACAATGATACAATAAAATAGATACATATACAGAAACAGATATTACCTTACTTTAATTGTTTTTATTTGAACGTAAAAATGTTTTCTTTATTTTAATGTTTTTTGTCCGTCTCTTTTCTATTCTGTGGTTTTTCGGTACGTTTTGTCCTCAATGCAAGTCTTTGTACACTAAAATCTTGTGTCTGATAAAAAGTAAACGTCCTGCTTGATGTCTTTATGATTTAGCCCAAAGTCAATCCTGAATCATAGGGACACAGAAATGGAAAAGAGCAGCAGCAGCAGACAGCGTGTATGCAACTCTAATAAAACTATAAATCATTGTGTTGTAACGTAATCAGTCTGCGGCGTGTATGAGGCAAACATGATGAATGTTTTATTGTATTTAACAAGGAAGGTAGGAAATACCCACAGCACCTTCACTCGTCATGGTTTCATCAAATACATAGAAAACGTCTGAATGATAAACAGGAACTTCTACATTGATGCATTTTGTCTTTTACGTCACATGAAGGCATGACTTGTACTATAGAGTAAATAAGTCCTAAACCAGGAAATGATTCAGCATTAAGCACTTCCTGTTATCTCGTCTCAAAATCAACCGGTTTATGAATGGCTTTATTGTTACAAGCTGTGGTTTACACAAGCTAAATAGATTTTATTGTTCTACGACATAAAACACATCAGTAAATACCCCACTGATGAATTTAAAAACGGCGGTGGCTAACAAGTGTCTAAATGAGACGACTAAACTTCATCACGGCCAACATTAGCCTCCTTTAGCTTAGCGATGGTGACGTGAAGTCATGTGACCGTGCTGTAGTTCCTTTATAGCCCAACATTAGCCGCCTTTAGCTTAGCGGTTGTGACGTGAAGTCATGTGACCGTGCTGTAGTTCCTTTATAGCCCAACATTAGCCACCTTTAGCTTAGCGGTGGTGACGTGAAGTCATGTGACCGTGCTGTAGTTCCTTTCTGTAGTTCCTTTACAGCCCAACATTAGCCGCCTTTAGCTTAGCGGTGGTGACGTGAAGTCATGTGACCGTGCTGTAGTTCCTTTATAGCCCAACATTAGCCGCCTTTAGCTTAGCGGTGGTGACGTGAAGTCATGTGACCGTGCTGTAGTTCCTTTATAGCCCAACATTAGCCACCTTTAGCTTAGCGGTGGTGACGTGAAGTCATGTGACCGTGCTGTAGTTCCTTTATAGCCCAACATTAGCCGACTTTAGGTTAGCGGTGGTGACGTGAAGTTGTGTGACCGTGCTGTAGTTCCTTTATAGCCCAACATTAGCCACCTTTAGCTTAGCGGTGGTGACGTGAAGTCATGTGACCGTGCTGTAGTTCCTTTAGAGCCCAACATTAACTTTTTACTTCTGGAGATTGTATTTTATGTTTCAAAATTCATCAAGTGGTGTTA